CACACACACACACACACACACACACACACACACACACACAATTTTTTTTTTCTGCAGTGCTGGGGATTGAACCCAGAGAGCACTGAGCCACATCTTCAGCCCTTTTTATTTTTTATTTTGAGACAGGGTCCCACTAAGTCTTGAGCACTTTATCCTCCTACCTCAGCCTCTCCAGTGGCTGGGATTACGAGTGTGCACCACTGTGACCATCCCCGCCCATTCTTATGCCTCACTCTGCCAGCACCAGGCAACCACTGACCTACTTTATATCTCTGTGGATTTGTCTTTCTGAGTATTTCATATAAATGGAATCACATTACAGGTAGTCTTTTTTTTTTTTGGTACCGGAGATCGAACTTGGGTCCTTTACAGGTAGTCTTTTATGTCTTGCTTTTTTCACTTAGCATAATGTTTTCAAAGCTTGTCATGTATTAGTACTTTATTCCTTTTGATTACTGAATAATATTTTATTATAAGAATATACCACAATTTATTTACTCACAGTTAACGAACATTTGGGTTGTCTTTCTTTCTTTTTTTTTTTTAGGCAGGATCTCACTATGCAGTCCAGGCTGGCCTTGATCTTGAGGTGATCTTCCTGCCTCAGCCTACTGAGTGCTGGGATTACAGGCATGCACCACTATACCTGGTCAGATTTTACTTTTTAGCTATTATGAATAATGCTGTTATGAATATTTGTGTATAAACTTTGGTGTCATCAAATGTTTTCTCTTGGGTATGTACCTAGGAGTAGAATTGGTGGAATTGCTGAGAAGGATAGTAATACTGTGTTTAAAATTTTGAGGAGGTCACATAGCTATCCTAGTGGGTGTGAAATGGTATTAGGGTTTGAGGGGAGGCTTGAATCCAGGGTCTTGAGCAACCTAAGTATGCACTCAACCACCAAGCTATACCTCTAGCCCCAGATATTCGTTTCTAAACATAGAATCTTCTTGCATCTCTGCTTTTCCCATCACACCTTCCATGATAGGAAACTTTACTAGGTAAATTTCTTTCTTTTTTCTTTTTTTTTTGAGACAGGGTCTTAGTATGTACTGTGTAGTTCAGGCTGGCCTTAAACTTACCATGTGGCTGAGGCCAGCCTCAAACTTGAGGTGATTCTCTTGCCTCAGCCTGAGTGCTGGGATTATAGGTCTGACTAGGTAAATTTCATGTAATAATCATAGTTTTGTTGTTGTTTGTATTTTTGAGGCAAGCCACTACTCATTATGTAGCCCATACTGGCTTTGAACTTGTACTCCTGATGCCTCAGGTTCCCAAGAGCTGGTATTACAGGTAAGCATCACCATGTCTGGCTTTTGTTTTTCTTTGGTTTTTTTGGTACCGGGGATGGAGCTCAGGATTTTGCGCTTTTGAGGCCGGTGCCAGAACCACTGAGCTACATCCTGCCTGGCTTTTGTTTTTTAATTAACTAAGTACCAAATACAAATTCCTGGAAACTACCTAAATGTGACTTTTGATCTGCTTTATTTATTTATTTAAGCAGTGACAAAGTTTATTTAAAAAAGTAAAAGTGAAGAGTGAGGGAGAAACTGGCTCTGAGAGCAAGCTTGGAGAGAGTAAAAGGTGAAAAAGCAATATAAAAGGACACCTCAGAGAAAGCAGGGCGGGTACTATGAGGAAAGTAAAAAAATTATACTAGAAACTTATAAGGATTAGAACTTACAACGCATGGTTGGTTGATTTTTTTTTTTTTGGTACCAGGGATTGAACTCAGGACCTTGCACTTTGGAGGCAGGTGTGGTGCCACTGAGTTAAATCCCTGGCCCTGGTTGATTGCTTGTTTGTTTTTATTTCTTTGGGTGTTTTGTTTTGTTTTGTTTTGTTTTTGAGACAGGGTCTCCCTATGTAGTTCAGGGTGGCCTTGTACTCCCAGTGATCCTCCTGCCTCAGCCTCCTGAGTGCTGGGATTATAGGCATGTGCCACCACAATCGTCCCATGCATAGGATTGAACTCCTCTATTATTTTCTTCGTGACTTTTAACAACTTATTTGACACTTTTGTACCTCAGTTTTGTCATCTGTAAAATGGGGATAATTGTAGTATCTACTTCTTTTTTTTTGCACCAGGGATTGAACTCGGGTCCTTGTGCTTACACAGCAGGCGGCGAAACCACTGAGCTAACTCCCCATCCCCTGTAGTATCTACTTCTGAGAGCTGCAATGAAAAACAATTGAATTCATACAAGTAAAATATCTAGAACAGAACCTGGCATAAGATAATAACTTAATAAATATTTATTATTATAGATTTTCTCAAATCATTTAGCAATAGAAGTCAGAATTTTTCTCCCACTTTATTAGTTTATACTGGTGTCGGGTCTGGTGGGCTGAAGGGAGGCCAGGTCAGATGAGGGTCCCAAAGAAAAGAATACTGGAGGAGTAGACATTACAAAGCAGGAACCCAGCTTTATTTTCCAACAAATCACGTATAGTGTTTTTTTTTTTAAATCAGCTTACTAAGACATAGTAAGACAAAACATTGTGGGTGACCTTGCAGGCCATGTGGCACATTGGTGGTTATCTATGCTGATTCATTATTATATAACAAAGCCCCATCGTGCACCTGTGGTAAACATTGGGGTTGTGTCCTCAGACCCCCCGGCTTTGACACATCTCACAATGGCCCCTACAATTGATTATATGGATGAGTGGGTTTCTTTATGGAAGATCTGTACATGCTCATAACATAATCATTCCTCCTCATCACTCCCCTTGCCCCACCTCCCCTAATTCACATGTTATTACTGGAGTTTCAATTTGTATAATGTACTTTGATTATATTCATGCCCCTATTATCTACGCTTGTACCACTCTTTCTCCCTCTTTTCTTCTTGTCTAGAAGTCAGAATTTTAAAATCCCATTTTTCTAACAATTACCATTCACAGTCAGATCACAAGACTTCTTATACATAGAGACTAAACCCATACAGATATCAGTAAATATTCTTTGAGTGAGTATTTCAAAATCCAAAGTCTAGGGCTGGGGATTTAGCTCAGTGGTTCTGCTGTGGGCCTCGCTAGGGCAAGGACCTGAGTTCTATCCCCGGTACAAAAAAAAAAAAAAAATCCAAAGTCTACTCACAAACTCTAATGAGAAAAATGCAAACTGCATTGTCCCTTCTGTTGTAGACACTTCCAGATGTACCCTGTTCTGAGAAGACTTGGATCATAGTACAGCCTGTCCTGTGTCAAATAGGTGAACACGACTTCTGCTAAGACTTGTGCTTGAGGGTCTGTGCTGTATGGCCTCACTTAATAAAATTTGTATTAGCACACATCACTGAGCAAATGACTCCCTTTATTTATATGACACATGGAGACTAGCAATAGGTGACACAAGTATGGACTACTTTCGCTTCAGTGAAGTTACACTGTTGATTGATTGACTGATTTTTGGACACAGGGTGTCACTATGTAGCCTGGCTTGATACACTGCTTTTTTTTTTTTTTTGGTACGGGGATTAACTCAGGACCTTGTGCTTTCGAGGCAGGAGGCGAGGCAACACCACTGAGCTAAATCCCCAGCCCCATACACAGCTTTTTTTGGAGGGGGGAGGGGAACCGCTTGTGCAGCAGGAGGCGAAACCATTGAGTTAAATCCCCAGCCCTACACTGCTTTTTAAGAACAACTCTCCTAGTGCTTTTTTTTTTTTCCTAGTTTTTTTTGGTACCAGGGATTGAACTCAGGACCTTGCACTTGCAAGGCACCACTGAGCTAAATCCCCGGCCCTAGGGTTTTGTTTTTTGTTTTTTGTTTGGAGACAGGGTCTCACTCTGTTCCTAGTGGTTTTGTGATAAATGTTAAATATCTGCCACTGAGAAAGGGAGAAAGAGGCCTAATTTGTAGCATTTGCCAATTTCCATGTTATATTTGTCAAGGCCATTTTCAAACTACCAATGTGATGTCACTAAGCAGAGTTGGAAATAGGTACATACTGTTGGCTCTCAAAAACTCTTAGAACCAGCTGGGTGTGGCAGTGCACACTTATAATTCCAGCACTTGAGAGGTTAAGGAAAGAGGATCACAGAGAGTTGGAGGCCAGCCTGGGCTAAATAGTGGAACTCTGTTTAAAGAAAAAAAAGAACCTCTTAGAACCAAATTCCAGTGCAGCATCATGACTATTTCATGTTTCCTGCCCAGTCTGCATGCACAAAGGAAGGCTTTTGAAAATTTAAAAATATATCAAATGTTTGTTTTGAAATGTTTATTTTGAGAATACCAATTCAACGAACTTTTTTTTTTTGTTTTTTGGTATTGGGGATCGAACTTGGGTCCTTGTGCTTGCGCAGCAGGTGGGGAAACCACTGAGCTAAATCCCGGGCCCCTCAATGAAGTTTTTGATTGTGCAAAGGAAAGCAAATATTACATTCTGAAATGAAGATTTTGAAACAATGTGTCTCCAATGCACTGAACCAAGATCTGCATAATATAAAATGCTGTGGTCTTCGTGGTCACCCTTTTAAAGAAACATTTTTTTCTAAATTAGAATTCAGACTACATGTTCCTCCTAAAATGATGTCCTGTTTTTATTTGGTTAGGAAAGGAGAGATCAGGTGGATACAGGATGACCCTAGGGGTCAAATCTTTGTCTGATATGAACTATTAGGTTGACTGGACCGGGATTGCAGAGCCCCGGTGGGACAATCCATCTAAAGACCCCATGGGGGTGTTACTACAGACTGAATAACCTAAATTTGAGGAAATCCAGCGATGCTGAATTGCTGGGTTCTGGAGGACTGTCCTAGTAAGGTCCTTAAAGCAAAGCAATCCCAGGCTGGGGATCTAGCTCAGTGGTTCTGCCGCCTGCCTTGCAAGAACAAGGACCTGAGTTCGATCCCCGGTACCAAAGCGGATATTCTGATACCATCCCCTCCTGTGAGGGGACAGAGGGACTCCAGAGTCTGTGCTCTTCACCTTGATACACTATTGTATTATGCAATTTCTTCCCATATGGGAAACATTCTCTGTTAAACAAAACATAGAATAAAGGCTGAGAGTCAAACTCTGAAGCCAGACAGACCCAGGTTTGAATGTTCATTTTGCTATTATTAGCTATATGTGACCTTGGTCATATTGTTTAACATCTCTAAGCTTCAGTTTCCTCAACTGAAGAAAATAATTTTTTTTTTTTGGTGCCGGGGATCAAACTCAGGTCCCTGCGCTTGCGAGGCAGGCACCAGAACCACTGAGTTAAATCCCCAGCCCTTGAAGAAAATAATTAATATAATTGTATTTGCCTCCTAGATTTTTCTTTTCTTGTGGTGCTGGGATATACTTGCTAAGCAAGTGTTTTACCACTAAACTCTACACCCAGCTGCCTAGGATTAGTTTGAGGACTAAATTAGTAAAATAAAGTACTTAGCCTCCATCAGGCACTCATAATATTCACAACAATCAGAACCTGTTTTGGAGTCTAGGTGCCTGACCTAAGTAGATTCTAAATCTCAGCGTAGATTTGCAGTTGTTTTCAAGTTCAGAGCTCTGACCATCTACCAGGGAAGCACAGTTTACCATTTGAGTTCATACAGGATGCCTCTGAGTGAGTGAGTTGTATTGATTTGTTTAAAATTTTTTTTTTTTTTGGTACTGGGGATCAAACTCAGGACCTTGTTCTTGCAAGGCAGGCGGCAGAACCACTGAGCTAAATCCCCGGGCCCTATTGTTTAATTTTGAAAGATGATTTTAGTGGTTTCTGGGATAGGCTAATGTGGATCTTTTGGGGTTTGTTTTTTTTTTGGTACCGGGGATCGAACTCGGGACCTTGCACTTGCAAGGCAGGCACCAGAACCACTGAGCTAAATCCCCGGCCCTGGATCTTTAATCAGAATCTTCTGGTATTCTATTTGGAAATGGTACTCTCCCCACTTTTTTTCTGGTACTGGAGATTGAACCCAGGGTCTCGCACTAAGCTATATTTCCAGCACTTTAAAAAAATGTTTTGACACAGGGTCTTCCTAAATTGCTAAACTTCCCAGGCTGGTCTTGAAATTTTTTTTTTTTTTTTTTTTTTTTGGTACCGGGGATCAAACTCGGGCCCTTGAGCTTGCAAGGCAGGCGGCGAAACCACTGAGCTAAATCCCAGGCCCTAGTCTTGAACTTTTGATCCTACTGTCTCAGCCTCCCAGTGTTAGGATTATAGTTGTGCACCACTATGCCTAGTTGGTACTGCCACTCATACTATGGCTACTATGAACAGTTAAGGTGATCTCATGCTGTAAGTAAACATTCAGGGGACTATCCTGGCTGAGACCAGGAAGTCACATAAATCTGATGAAATGTTTCCTGTCTGTGTTCCTGGTCTTAGATTCTTTATTAGGCATTTAAAGCTTATGACATCAGAATATAAATCTTATTTTAATTAAGCTATTCTCTAAGGTCCTGTCAGTGCTCTGTACTGAGAGAGCTGGCATTCAATGAAGAGGAAGCTGAGGCTCTTTGAGTGAAGCCTCCATTTTAACTAATTTTCACGAAATACAAAAATGGACTGTTTGCTGTAAAACCATTGAGGGTAACAGGAGCTGGATTTTTTTTGCAGCGATTTTTATCTCTGGTGGCTCTGTCACTGACTAAGGTTTCAGGCAGAGAGGCAAGCAGGACCTAGCAACAATCACTGGGGAGCTTCCTGGTTGCTAGCAACAGTAAATACCACAGTGACACAAAGACACAAAGACTCAACCTTTCACATGCACACAATGAACCTGGGGCCTGGTTTCTTATTTCAGATACAACAGAGTCCTCCAGGTAGAGCACAACAGCTTCTTCTTTCTTCCTATTAGATGAGATTTCTAAGTTTGTACAGAAATGCATATGGCACAGTAGTCTTATGAACATTTTGCTTCTAAATTCACCCAAGAACACTTACATTCTAACCTTCCTCTCAGTATCGCTGCTTTTTACTATTCTGAGAGAGAAATGGAAGGAAATAGGGCTGTATATCTGATTTAGGAATTTTTAATTAATTAATTTATTTTTTTGGTATTGGGGATCAAACTCAGGACCCTGAGCTTGCGAGGCAGGTGGTGGAACCACTGAGCTAAATCCCTGGTCCCTATTTTTTTAGTTAGTATTTATTTATTTATCTGAGAAAAGGTCTTGTTATGTAGTTCAGGGTAGCCTTGAACTCACTGTGTAGCCTAGGCTGGCCTTGAACTTGGGGCGATCCTCCTGCCTCAGCTTCCTGAATGTTGGGATTATAGGCACATGCCACCATGCCTGGCCTGATTTGGGAATTTTAAATAATGGGTGCTAATGTGGTTTTCAGAAAAGGTAGAAGAAATATGCAGAATATGAAACTAAGCACTGGCAATTTAAGGTTTTTTCCATGACTCACTGAAGGAAATTGCATAATGGACTTTCTTTGCCAAAGCGCACACACTCTTCTTTTCAAATACCTTGCCATTTCCCTATATTATTCCCTGATTCTCCAAACCTTGTCTTTCTTTTTATCATTTTTATACACTGTTAACTTTTTCTCTCTTTTCTCTAAAGCTGTAAAATTCTCTAGGGTACAGTCCTGTGATATGAAAGGTGATAACAGGAATCTAAAAGTACCCTCGACCTTGCTAGTCTGTCTCCTAGCAACTGGATATGTTGCTTAGTAACATGGGGGTGAGAGTAAAGTCACTCTTACAGATCTAAAAATATACTGAAATCATTAAAAATACTAATCATGGGCTTTTTCTTTTAATATATTAAATCCAGGGACAATCCTACAATAGAAGGGAATTATTTCAGGCTATGCTATCTTGAATTAACCTCTAAATCTCTTATAATCTGTATACTAAAATGACAGGTTGCTCTTCATATAAGCAGATGAATGAAAACAACCTGTAGCCTTTCCTAACCCTTTCTCTTCTATAAATGCATAATCAGTGTTTAAGTCTATAAGACACTGAGAAACATTTGCTAAATTATCTTTTAGGCTAGGTAGAGGAAAAAAAGTTTTTTCTAACTTCTCGGCATATGCATAATCAAATTCCTTTAGATTTATATATATATATATATATATATATATATATATATATATATATACACACACACACACACACACACACACAAATATATGAGATTTTTTAATTGAAAAATGAAATTACAACATAAATCCTAATTTGTAGCTTATTTTTTCCATTCACATATTGTACAATAAGTTATATAATTGAAGAAATCTTTCCTTGTTAGTATATATACTTTAAGCTCTCTTTCTAAACAGCAGCATAGTATGGTACTACAATGTATTTATACAGTTTTATTTTGCATTTTTAAAAGTCTGTGATACAATTCTTTAGCAGATTTCTCCATTGCTTGTAAGTGATTAACCTTGAATTTAAATATACTTATCTCCAGAGAAATTAATGAGAAGTCAGTAAAAGGATGTTTATGAAGGGGATCCAGAAATGTCTACGGGCACCAGAGTATGCCT